ACGCACGCACACGCGCACACATACACAATTCAAACACAGAAAAAGCCTTATTTTAGGAAAAGGTATACATATAAATAAATAGTTTGTATTTCGTGTATATATATTAAAATATTTATAATAATTGGTCTTTGTCAGAATTGATCTTTTTCAGATATTCTTAGAAAGTTGGAATATTTTGTTATAGCATTTTATCAATTTAAAGTTTCGAATTTAATTTATTTATCTAATTTACTTAATTTTTATTAAATAAATTATATTTAAAACACAATTTTTATTGATTCCAATTATATCTTACAATTTGTATTTAAAACTTAAATTCATGTAATTAAATACTTCAAAACATATTATATATATAAAATATGTACTATGCTAAAGATAAATATAGGATAATATTTAAATATAATATATAATATTTAAAAGTATATTTTGATATATGTTCATTGCAGAAAATTATTTATTTTCAATCATTAAATTTATTTGTCTTAAACCAACAGAATTTAAAAATTTAATAAACTATTTATAAAACAAATGATTGCATAATTAATTGTTATTAAATATTTATTTATTAATATAAATTGAAAAACAATGTAATACTAATAGTTTTCACAATTATAAGTGAATTATTAAAAGATATTAAAAGAAGAATTATTAAAAAATAACAGTTGTATACAACTCTTTAAACCTAGAAAAATATTTTCAATTAATTTTTTATAACTTAAAATTTCTTTTTTTGTAATTTAATATGTGAAGAAAAATCTTAAGATTAGAATTAAGATTTGATTTTTATAGTAATACATATGTTTCACTTTTAAATTAAGAATTAAATATTAATTATAAATATATTAAATTACTTGAAATTTAAAAAAAATTATTATCATTTTTTTAAGTTTATGTATTTTTTTTATAATTTAAAATTTATTGATGTTTTTTTTGATAGACTTTAATAATTTAATTGATTAAATAATTCTTAGATGATAAAAACGATTTACTAAATTTGAGACAATTTATGCATATTATAAATGTATATTTTGTATATTGTTAATTATGATGAGATATTTTTATTGCATTATGAAAGATATTTAAGAAATATAATTACCAATTATATTACAAAGGTCCTGTTTTATAATAATAAGATCCAGTTCTGCAAAAAAACACAAAAGAGAGATTATATACTTCATAAGTAATAAACATAAGTTACCATATAAAAAATCCATTGGGTTAACATTGTGTTATACAATAATTAATTAAGATTTTTACATTGTTTTACTATTTTTTTATATCTATATAAAAACTGCATAAATCTTTAGACAATTTGGAAATTATCTAATTCTTAGGTCTACATTGATTCTTACAAAATAACAGCATATTGCATAAAAACAATACAGAAACTAAATAGCGTATTTATAATATACAGATTATTTTAAAATCATTATATATGTAATTATTATACGTGATAATACATGTATTTCAATATATGTAAATAATTTCTTTTTATAGTTAATATCCGTTTAATTATCTTATGCCAAATAATTAAATATAATATTAATTATTAATTCTTACATATTTTCTGCTGCATATCCAAAAGGTACCATAACATTTTCGCAAAGATCAAGTAAATAGGCCAAATAGGAAGAACATTTTTTGTTTGCCATAGTTTGAGTAGGATAATACTTCGTCCTTGTATATATTACGACAGCTTTTGAATGACTGCAGAAAAGTGATGACGCTTGTGATAACAGAAAAAACGATTAAATCAATATATTAATAATGCAAATACATTTTATATTTCATATTGGTTAGTATATTTTTTTAATGAAATTTTTATAAAAGTTTTCAAATATATAGAATAATTATGTAATAAATAATTAACCAACTGAAAACTATACATACATTATTTAAACATTTCCTTAATAATTATTAAATAGTATGTTATATAATAAAAACTATTAATAAATAAATATTTAATAGCAATTAATCATGCAATTAATTTGTCAAAATAAATTGATACTACAATGAGTTAATGAAGTAATATTTATTTGTATCAATTATTACGATCAGTGCTTAATGAAGATTCAAGTAGTGGACAACCAGGTTGAATACGATGACCACCATTTACAAATATTTCTAGTGTTCCCATAGGAGAAAGGCAAGTTGGAATATTAGTATCTAGTTAAAAGTTAAATAATAAAGTTAAAAGTTAATAATTTTTAACTTAATTTAATTAATTTTAAATGAATTAATGATTAATTAACTCTTAACTTCAATTTTAACTAATAGCTATTTTTTTAAAACATTAATTTTAATTCAACTTCATTTCTTCTTAAATTAAAATCTGTTTTATCACATTATTTTTTTCTATAAACTTTATATCTTAAAAAGAGATCAATAATTATAATGAATGTGATATCTTTCTGATGCAAGATTATTTGCATTTCCCTCGAGTTTTTTTAAACAAAAAGAAAAGAAAGTTTAATATTAATATTATTTAAAAATCATTCCTCAATTCCTCAATTTTTCGATTCTTCAATTAAAATTTATTTACATAATGTTCAATATGGCTATTTTTTGTAATAATTATATCTAATACTAATACTAATATTAATATCTAATACTTCTTAACTGTATCTATATTTCCTGTCTAATTGTCTCTATATATATAATTCTGTAATATTTCATTATTTAGGTTTTCATAATTAATGAAAAAATATATTATAAAAGACATAGCAAAAACAAAATATATATATATATATATATATATTTGATATTTTTTTATAAAACTTATTTTTATAAATAAAAATTGAATGTATTCAATAATTTATATTATAATTTATATTTTTTCATTTGGAGAAACCTAATTTAAAAAAATTATATTTTAATTTTTAAAAAAAATTATATTTTTAATTTAATAATGCTGTTGAAAATTAATTTTTAACTTATTCAATTTAATGTTGATACAACTTCTAACGTAAATTATTTAGAATTTATTAACTTTAACTTAATTAATAGATAAAACTAACCCTGTTCTAGAGATAAAGAACCAAATCCACCCATATCCGTATGAATAATATCAATAAACGATGCATCATTTTTCTCAAGATAACATCCAGTGGGATAAAATATACAATTAGCAGGATCTAATCCTACAAATAATAATTTTGTATTAAAAATATTTTAGAAAAATCTAAAAATTATGTCTAACGAAATTAAATTGGTAATTATATTGAAGATTTTTAAGCAGTTTTATTGAAATTCTTATTAATAAAAATTGAATAAAAAGTAAAATGAGATGTTTGTCAATTAATTATTTATTTCTTAAAATTAGTATCAAAATGTATATAAATGTATAAAAAAATTATAGTAAGAATTATATAGTATTAGAATTATATAGTATTAGACATTAATAATTAATTATAGAATATAAGTTGAAATATGTGTAACACACATGTGTTTTATTTTAATTAATATTTATTATTATTACTTTGGAAATATTTGAGAAATAACTACGTGTTTTAAATATTTAAAACTTGACGTACCTGTGATGCGAGATATTTCGTACTTGCTGCATTTAGCAGCATGACCAGCTATGTGTGCGCCTATTGAAAAACCAATAATGTAAATATTATTAGATATATTGAAACCATTATCTCCAAGTTTGTTTAAACATATAGCCAATAATCTTGCTACTTTTTCGCCGTTTGAAAAAACTTTTGGGTAAAGGCCAGTAGTATAATTGCTCCAATCTAGTAATACAATGTTGTCCGTTCTTCCAAAACATAACGCTAATGCAAATAATATTCAATTTGTAAATCTTTCATTGATTTGATAATAAATATCTTTATTTATTTAATGTACATGAACGCAAAATACCTTTCATCATTAATTCAACATTAGGTTTCTCTGGAGCTTGCATATATCCAAAGATATAAAAGATTGTTCGTTTGTTTTTATCTAACACACTTAATATACCTTCTGGCTTTGTGATGGGATAAGCAATCGTTGCTGGAGTCTCGTTATTACTAAAAAGCATTTACTCATATCATTATTAATTATTGTTTAGAGATATTTGTCATCAATACAAACCATTTATAATAGAGTAGGTTGACACCAGCCGAAAAATTTGAATCCGGTTCTTCACCTGGATAATAAAATACGTACAAAGTTTATATATACATACATATATATATATATATATATATATATATATATATATATTCTTGATATTTATTTATTAATGTTTTACTTGTTAAAATACAAAAAGAATATATATAAAATAAATTACATATTTACAGGAACACAAACAATCCACTGTCTTTGCCATAAAAAATAGTAAAACATAAGAATATACAATCGTTGCTAACATTTTAAACGAATAAAGTATTCACAATCTGTAATGTTTTTAAGATGTATTCTTATTAGTTCTTTGCGACATTCTACATAGGAACTCAGTGCAATTTATACCATCGTACATATCTGTATACATTGTATCACCTCAATTAAACACAAAAGATAAATGAAGATAATTTGTGCAATAATAAGTACGTGCTCGTTTAAAAACAATTATTTTGGAAATGTTCGAATACATAAAATAATATAATTACAGGAAAAATTTGGTTAATTGCGAAATTTAAAACAGATATTTAGAAATAGAAAATTATTATAACCTTAGTTTCTTTTACATTTTGCGTATAACTTCTGAAATATTTTATTACATTATAATTTTTAAATATTTGTAAATAAAATGATATATAATATTATACATTATAATTACGTAATATAAAAATTTTGCAATTGTTATGTAAGGAAAGTAATTGAAAAATGTAATTTATTTTAATTAATATTAATCATATGCGTTATCATAATTTCTAATCTTTAAGAGATTTTTATAAAAAATAATATCTGATCTTGCACTGCAGTAACATCTATTATTATTAAAAAATTATTAAAAATATGAAAATCCACTGAATATTAAATCTGTCTTATGTTTACTATTTTTTATTTTCATTTATTTTTTATTAAGTTTAGTATTAAATTTATATTTTGCGACATAAAAAATTTTTTACAAATTAATAATTTATTATTATTTAATTTTACAGATGTTTTTATCAACAATAAAAAATAATGTTTAAAGTTTGCAATTTTTTTGAATTGATAGATTGACTTGATTATTATTTAAATTAAAGCTGGATCAAATTTTTTAATTTGTGCGAATTTTGAAATGTTATTTTATATTAGTATTACAATTTTAGCATAAATAATTTATAATAAAAAACACAGTAATTTATTTGTAAATATTATATATCATATATAATTAAGCAAAAATCTTGAAAAATATAATTTTTATATATATTTATTTGAATCTTTTTTAAAACTGTAACTTGTTTCTCAAAAAGTACTTTAAAAATGCAATAACATTCATTATCTTAAAAAATAAAATAACGTAAAAATACATTATTTTAATAAACAATACAATATACTAAGTTAAGTTTCAAATAACAAAACAGAGAATGAAGAATGCAAATGTTCGGAGAACTCGATTTAGGAATCTGATAATTTTTCTTTTATTGAATTTATATATATAAATTCGGAATTAATTGCTTATATCACGAACGTATTATCGTTATTTTTAACAAACTTATGACGAAACTCAAAACTTTTTGATTATTAATAAATTAATAATCAAATTTGAAATCGATTAATCTTCTCTTTTTTCCTCTATAGAAAATTCTTATTGCAAAAAATGTTACCTCAATTAAACCTGAATCATCCGCTTATTCAGCAGATATCTTATCTTTTTGCATACTAAGGTCACGTGCTTAATAATACGTAATATTTACGCATTTAACCAGATAAGTTTAAATATCTTTTTCAATTGGTGCAATTGATAAATAAATATAATATAATATGCTAAGTTTTAAATAATTTTGTAAGCGGGTGATCCAGGTTTGTCTGATTGAGACGATTTTCGCTATAAAAATTTCCTAGGGGAACAAGAGAAGCATTAATCAATTTCAAATCTGATTATCGATTTATTAAAATAGCTTCGAGTTACTGCATAATCCGTAAAAAATAATGGCACATAGTTTGTTATATAAGCAATTAATTCCGAATTTAAATATATAAATTTAATAAAAAAAAATTAGCGAACTCCTAAGATCAAGTTCGGCGAGTATTTGCCTTCTCTGTTCCCTATTACATTATTTAAAATTTTTTTTAATCTGTTATAAATACAGATATTTGTGTTCTATCTGTTATAAATACAGATAAGTGTTCTATTTGATGAGTTGATACAAGATATTTGCATATTTTTTTATAACAATAATAATGAAAAATAAAACCTGTATATTACCAATGATCTTATTAATAAAACCGTACATTTCTAATCACACATCTTTGCCTTAAAAAGATTAGTATAAGAAAATAAATCTTATACTATTTCTTCTTCTACCATTTTATCTTACCTTCAATAAAATTAAAATTATAATCTATTTATTCTTATTTTCAATTATGTAACTTACATTGTGTGCACTTCGATGCTCTTTCGTTTTAAATTTTATCTCTTATCTATTTTTGTGATCGTTCGCCAAGTGTATACACGACATCTACAATGTGTGTTCAATATTTCATTTTACACACATTGTAGATATCACATTGTAGCTTTGAAGATCGTTTACGCACTATGGCTGCGCGCGCCGTATGTACATCGCACAGCGCGTATTGTATTTACGAGCGCTCCACGTCCTACCATTCTTCAACTAGCGTTCGTATGAACAGGTAGCAATGCGTGTCGCTCCGCGTTTCTTTAAAGCTGAGTGATACCAAATGTTGCTGTATTATATAAATATAATACAGCAATAAATACTTACAGCAATAAATACTTACAGCAATAAATACAGCAGTAAATACTTATTAACTATTGAATAACAATTGATTAAAGTACATATGTCGCGCAACTTATTCCTTTGATTTTTGCAAATGATAACCTCCAAGGAGTACGGCCTCGACGTAGCGGGGGGGCTGAATATTCCGAAGGGTTCCATAATCCTAAAGACGAAGAAACAAACAATACTCGTTACACCACTTACTAATAACATCAGTATTAAATCTTAATTAATAAGGACTGCGTATCTCGAAGCTCTCATTATTTTTAGTAATCGGTATAATCCGAATATTATAACGTTGAGCATTTTCTACGGAAAATTTTTACGGATTTATATATAATTTGCATACTATTTTGTAATATGTATAGCGATAGTTTATCATAAGATAAAATACATAACATCTATCTAAATAAAATAAATTGTAATAAAATAAATTGTAATGACGTTAAATGAATGGGTCCATAAGGGTACGTTCGCTTTGAACGCTCATGCGCTATAAGCATCATTCCATCTTTATTATTCATTACACGCCAAAAATAGAATAATACAGCGCATGAGCGTCTAAAACGAACTCATCCTAAATGAAACAACAATATACGGTATAAATTATTTAAAAGTTATTTAAAATGTAACAATTATATTATTTAAAGTTCCGTTATCAAAAGATGTAATAACGTAGAAAATAAATTTTGTTCGTAATATTGTTGAATATTTTGTTGTAGCCGAACTATTGTAGCCTTCAGTTGTGTTTACGCGCCGCTGGTATGTTGTGTTTACGAGCGCAGTTCCACGTGCTACCATTCATTCACCGGCGTTCGTACGGGCAGGTAGCAAAACATGCTGCTCCGAATTTCTTCACATTTCTTTGAATGAATATCAAACGTTCTATCTTATAATTATAATTATAATTATATAACGCTCTATCTTATAATTATAATACGATATATGTATAATGCTTATTAATTGACATGATTAACGATTTATAAGCATATCGAAATAATGAACTCTCTAATGAAACATACACATTTCGCGACGTATTTCTTTGAAATTCACAACTTTTTGTAAAAAATACCCCTCTAATGGGTATGGCCTTGACGTGGCAGAGGGGCTCAGTATTCCGAGGGGTTATCTAAGCGGTACTATTAGTCGGCAAAATGATTTGTCGATTAATTTGTGCTACTTAGGTATGTATCCCAAAGACGAAGAAGCTAACAGTATCCGTTGCACTGTTATTAATAACATTAATATTAACATTAAGTAATATTAATGTTAATAATAATATATTAACACAGCATAGCTACGAGTCATGAAATGGCTCTTATGTGGCAAACTTGATTAATGCGTTTCACGCATTAATCGTCGGTTTTAAACCGACATTCCGCCGCCGCATTTAATTGTGAATGAACGAACTGCAGCCAGTTCGTCGCGTCGCGCGTTTGCTTCGGGAGTGCCGTATAAGTGATCGGACTAACAGACTTTTCCTCACCCTGCGAGGGCCCGTTTGACAAATACCATAGTTCGAGCCGGTCGAGTCGCACTGTCAAGGGGTGCAGGGAGCGCGGGATCTCATTGAGGCGTAGTCGGCTACGTCTTCACGCCACGTGCGCCGCGGCACTGGTGATGCCGGCTGTGAATGTTACACGCACTCGCTACCGCTTGATGTGTTGTGTTTCGCACAGTTGCAAATTGCATTAAACGGCTGATTGAGAACACGCTCTGTCTTTGACAAGTGGTTCGGTCTCAAGCGGCAAGATTTCAAT